ATTTTTATAAAATATTTTTATTTTACAATTTCATATATAATATTCTATAATTCTTTATATTATTATGCAAATTAAAAGCTTTCGCTTTCTATAAAAAAAACTGAGCTATTTAACTATGCAATAATGAAAAATGAACTAAAAAATAATGGCATATTTATCGCATGTAAAATATTTATATAAATGCTTAAATATTAATTCTATTATACATAAAGATATTTGTATAAAGTTCGTTTCACATAAATAAATACGAGATTTTTTATGTTTATAAATAGATATTTTTAATTAATTGCATAAAAATAATCCTTTTTAAATGTTGTATTGTAATAAGTATACCTGCATGTGGCTTCATTTTGACAAACTGGAATATTTTCATCGTTAAAACACAACGGACCTTCGTTGCAGCTCCTTCCATTGAAACCATCGAAACAATCGCACCAGAAAGACCTGCAAAAGAAAAAACATAACAATAAGGAAAAAACATAATACAAGGAAACTCTGTGCTTCTACGATGAATAAATCGTGAAAAATTATGATTCATAAAAGAAAGACTTGTAATTCTACAGCAATTATTTTTTGTAAATATTTAATTTCTTGTGTATTTATATTTGAAGGTATAAATTTCTAGAAATTTTTGCTGTAAATTTTTTGAAGATAGTTTACTAATAGGGAATTAAAAGTTTATATTCATTAAAAAAATTTAATGATTTTTTCCTTATATGTTAATAAAAGAAACATTAAATAATTTGTTTAGATTTCCATCATTTCTGTTTAGATTATTAGTAAAATATTGTTTTTACAATTAAAAATATAACTAAAATAAAACGTTATATAACTAAAGTAAAACGTTTACAAAAAGCTTAAAATTATTTGAAAATTATTTTAGATGAATAGTTACAAAAATTCAATAGATGCAAATATGCAGCATGAAGTGTCAGAATAATATATTTTGTATAAATAATATTAATAACTTACGTGTAATCCGCAGAGACGAGACAGTTACCAGCAAAAGAGCAGTCGCGTATGGTGCAGGACTCGGGATTTGGATGTTCTTCAGTCATTTCGTAAGTCACATTGAATCCATACACGTCGAGCAGGTCATTCAATACCCTTACGTGATTACCCTCTAGTCGATCGAGCTCGAACTCGACTACCAAGAACGGTCTGAACGTTCTCAGACGTTGATATTCGAAGACATTACCCTCGGTCACCTCCTTAACTAGGGCCGCACCAAAGTTCATAGTCTCTGACTCATAATACGCGTATTCGGTGAAACGAAGCCCTTTATAGACATAAAGTTGCGTCAGGTAGACGACGATGGAGCTGTTGGTCGACGGGATGTCGGACACGTCGATTACCCAACGACACTTGATCGGAATCGGAAAGGGTCCAGGGAAATTCGGCGTGTGTATGACACCTCTAGGGCCTGCCAAATGACCACCGCAGAATGGGTCAAAGTTCATGATGACGTTCGGCAGATTGAAGCAGAAGAGACACAGGAGAAAAACACCTGACATGGTAGCCTTCATCTTCATTCTTCAAATCTATAAAAGAAAAAAAAAAATCAAAATCAGTATTAATCAATTAGCAAAATTAATTGATACATTAGAAAAGAAAATATATTTATATTTTGAGTTCTTAGGAGCTTTTAAAAAAAGCTGCAAGCCAAAATTTGCTACGAATATTTTGTTTCATGCATTTATATTTGGCGCAGTAGAGAGAATATTGTGTGCATACGATATTTTTCAGCTTGGTTTCATCAATGTGACATTTAACATTACTCTTGGTGTAATTTACTTTTCATTTTTTTTTCATTTTAAGAATTAAAGAAAAACGTAAATAGTCAATTAAATCGAGATTATATATACATATATAAAGTTAATCTTACATTGGTGGAACTAAAACTAATTTTTAGAATTGGAAAAAGATGAGTTTGTTGAATCAAGATTAAAATTAAATTACATTGTGATAGAAACGGGACATTAGGCTCGGTTTTCCACTAATTTTTTTTTAAGAATTAAAAAACGAAGAGTAAATTAAACCGAGATTAAATTTAATTTTTTTGGTGGAACTAAGTCTTAAATTTGTAACATTTTTAAAAATTCATATATATTATATAATTTATATAATATAATAATCTTACAAAATTTAGATAATTTCTTGGTGAATAAAAAATAAACAGAAATAATTGGCATAGAATTGTGCTTATATAATATAAATTTATTATAGCATTCTTGAAAATTCGTAACTCACGACATTCTTAAAAAATTTTTTTTTAAATAAAATTTGTAACAGAAATCAATCCGTTTCGAAATAGTAGTAAATTGGCTATGATGACCTAGATGATGTCCGCGTAAACACACGTTGGCGACGCGACATCTTCCTCACCTTAACCGCGGGTCGAGCGGGGCGTTATCGCGACACCTCCAAGTGAACGATCGCACGAGTCGTCTTTCTTCAATTTCGTTCAATCGGCTATCATCCGCTGGGTTTCTGTCCACATCGACGGTTCCCCGGCATGACGATGTCGATATTCCCTCACGCAGGAACCAGAGATGTTGCGCTCGGTCAGGCTTACCCGCGAACCGAATACCGCGCAAAAGCGCGAATTTTGGGGGGATGTCCGACGCATAACGAATTTCTCGATCTTAACTACATCATGGACTACACCGTCGAGAGATTTGCGAGGAACGTGAAATGTGATTCACGGCTAGACAATTTCGATGAGAGGATGAGAATGATGAGATGAGCGAACGAGCGATAGGTACTTCGATATACCTCGACACGACCTTGCGCTCTGATACTGATTACTGATCTCCCTTGCCCACCCTCTCTTATCACAGATGCGCGACGTCACGTGATTTGCCGGGCTGCTGTAGGACTGTTGGCGCTAGTCTCCTCCACCCCGATCAACCCTAATCTGTCCGCGCGCGTCCATCCCACGTAGATTAATCCGTGGCCTGCATGTGTATTGGCGCGGAAGTATTGGTACCCTTGTCAAAATTCGATTGGGGGCAAGTTCAGTATGAATAATTCAAATCTTTGAATTTATTGGCGGTGCCAAAATATAAATTAATCGATGTCAAAAGTTGTGATTTCCATTGGCCGCGTTCAATAGAATGTTTATTTTCGAACTGTTTTGAGATTTTCTTCGCGTTGATTGAATTGTATAACTTTTAAATCTAAAGGAATATCTTATCTTAGCAAAGAAAACTTTCAACAGTTGCAAGATAAACATTCGACTGACGCAGTCAATATAGATCATGGCTTGACATCGGATCTAATTAATACCGAAAGCATGATCTTCCAAAGTGAATTAGGAATTTTCTTACTTTTATGATCCTATCTTCCTTCGATCCTTTAATTAGATCTGTTCTTTATCGATGACTCCCTGAAACTATATTTGCTTCATCTTAATTTATTCAAGTCTTAGCGCTGCCAATTATGAAGTAATATAGGCTGTGTTCCAAGTTTATAGCGCTGAAAATCTATAGTTTACGTTATGTATAGATTCTTAGTATTGACAGTAATTTTAGAATACAGCTGTGGACAACTTCTGAAATTTCTGACACAATTGTGATACTTGCGATCTAATTGATATCAAAAGCGTGATCTTCTAAAATGGAGATCAGAAATGGAGATGTTTTTTTTATAATCTTATCTTTTTTCGATTCCTTAATTTCTCTTGATTCATTCCGAATCTATAAAGTTGAATTTTGTAAAATAGTTTTTAAAGAATATCAAATTTAACTTTGACACAGACACTTCGTAGGAGATATTATATAAATAAAAGATCGTATATATAAAATTATGAGACTTTAATCTTTTTAATAATTTTATCCCTAAATATTCCAATTATACATTTCTATGTCTTATTTCTATTCATTATGCAAAGTAGGAGATTAAAAGAAAAGTTTTGTAGGAACAAGTTTCGAGTAGATAACTCGAAACTGACAAAAGATCGTTTGTCAATTGATTCATCGTTAGCAGACCGCATAAAAAGTATATCAGTAACGGTTAACTAGTGCCGTAAGATACGAGACGCGATAGAAGTTAATTTTGAAAATATCACTCGGGATATAGAGCACTAGTGTAAATTACGTAAGTTCAAACGAACGCATACGCGAGAGAAAAACATTGTAAATTCATTGCGTAATAAAAATGTATTGTATTTCTTTAAATAAGAATAATATATAACGATTATTTGCTTACAATTTCCGATTATAATTCATATACAATTTTATTGAGAAAGGCAACGGTAACTGTCCTATTTTTTCCTTCATATAAACAGCAAACGTCTTGCTATCTGTATAATGCGCGACAGTTACTTTTTTGCCAGTATTAGAGCCAACTTGCCATTTCGGCTTGCAGCACGCATCGCTGCACGATTTATAAATCGCGATCTCGGGTAAATCTACGTCCATCGCATCGCCCGCGTCCGTAGTATCAGTGATGTCAGAATCAGAGTGATTAGTGTTCGAACTGGAGCTACTTTCATCATTGCTGAAATTTGCATCGTCCACTATACCGCTATCCGTTTTTTCGCGCTTCGCAATTTTCTTGCGTTGTATGAAAATGCTCTCTTGTTCGCCGTCACTGTCGCTATCGCTATCGCTCATGTTGGAGTACGCGGCCACGCTGGATTTTTCCGCGTTTCTTTTACTCCGTTCCTCCGCTCCGTTGTTATTGTCGTTCGTATCTGTGCCTACAGAGGAACTGTGACCCGCACTCGTATCATCCATACTCATACTTGAAACGGTGCTTTTCGCGTTGGATTTCCGCCTCTGCTGACGTACAGGGAAATCCGTATTCACACCGATATCTCGAGTACTTTCGTGGGTATTGTCCAAAACCCGTTGAATCTCTCCACTATCTTCACCATTCTGATTCGGTTGCACGACCGCCCGTACCAATTGCAAGCTCGTCGTGATAGCTTCTCCAGGCTGAACGTCAGCGAGACGCGCATTTAATAAGAAACGCGCTCGCCCGGCGAGTTCTTCCTCATCATCGGTAAAATCGTCAGAGTCAAAAATGGGTATTACAAAACGTCTGAGGGTATCTTGTTGTTCAGTCTGCCTTTGATGTATTGGAGCTACAGGCTTCACAGTCTCAAGCTCGGGGTGCTCGTTCCAGATATTGTGACGTAGACGATGTCGGATTTTACCACGACACAACTCTTGCAGAGATAAGGGATTGTACTCCGCTGCAAATATAAAATTTCTAATACAGTGTAAATTATACGTAATCTCATAATAGCGTAAATTGTCGAATAAACATAAAATATTTGTTTATGACATATGCATACGTAGATGAAACAAATTGTGTTCGTCTGAGGACGGAGGTACGACTAGAGTTGCGAACGATACGGGAAGCATTGTGTTCTGCAACCACGTATTCTCATCCACTCTTTGCAAACGTAGCAATTCATCCTTGTAAGGCATTACTAATATACCTCCAACGCGTACGAATTGCTTAATAAATGCCTCGTGACTTTCAGGACACGCTGCACCACAATATACTCTGTCGTATTGTCTACCTGGTATGAGGCTAAGACAATTTCCTGTTGGATATTATTATTACATAATGTTTGAAGTAAAACCACTGTCATCTTGCTAATATTCAAAAAATTATTTTACCTTGCATAAATACAGGCTCACAGAAATCAAACTCATTTAAAGCCAACGACATTTCCTTGAATTCCTCCAACCTTTTGTGTGCGTAACTTAAACAATCTTCGTGCAACTCAATTCCATGATTTATTCCATGTTGTTCTGAAAAAGATATAAAAGATTATACATATTCGATATTATTTTTTAAAACAGCAATTTTCTTACTTATTAACAATCCTGCCATTGTGCTGAGGTAACCAGTACCCGACCCAAGATTCAGAAAGCTTAAACCAGGTTCTAAACTTAGTCCTTCCAATACTTCACTATATATACAGGGAGCTGATAAATGTATATTTTCATGTTTCCAAGCTAAATCCTTATAAGCGCCTTCTCGATATTCAGGCAAAACATAGTTTGCTCTATCTACAGCTCTAAAAACTTGTTCCACCTTCTTCGTTTTGATATATCCCGATCCCATTAAATTATCCACTAATTCATCATTGTCTTGCCCACAGCTTACAGCACCTCCCATGTTTATTTAAATATTAAGTATTCTGTAACAAATAAGTATATATTAATTTATTACATACAAACAATTAGAAAAAAAAACGAGAATTTATTTTTACAAAATACAAAATGACTTGTTTGTAAACAAATCTAAAAATATTTAGATTCGTACAGACTAATAAGAGTAATATTCTCTAGGCCTGTCTTTTGTTGCTGTATTAGACTACCTATATTAAAACTTTCTATCTTGCTTATATCAAACTTCAAATATATTATATATCAATTTTAATTATGAAAAATGTATGTACGCTAGTTTAATCACAAAGGACTTAACTCACAATATTAGGATTATTAGGTTACTTAAAGATTTTTCTTATCCAAATACTAATCATTGATTTAAATGAAACTTTTTGAATCTTTCTATAGAATATTTAGTAATAAGATTTATAATATGTTACTTGACCTATTTTAATAATTAACAGTGATTTTTGAAAAAAGTAAAATTTCTTTATCCTTATTCTTTTAATAAAACAAGCATGAATTTAATTCCTTTGATGCAATTATATTAAACTTATTCCTTTATTATTTTGTAAATTATTTTTAAATAAAATATTCATAAGTAGATATTATTAAAATCTAAGATGTTGATGATTTATTAAAGAAAATCATGATTAAACTAAGCTGTAAATAAAGCAATATAAATAAACACTAGCACAACTGGTTCAAATATCGTTGCTTAGATAAATATTTGCTACAGCAAAGCAAATAATAAGCAAATAAGTAAATTAATTAATTAATAATATTTATATTTCAAAATAATCAGCAATAAAAAATTTATATTTATATTAACATCATGCTATACACAAAAAAAATATTGACTCAGAAGTAATTGGTTCTGACTGAAGTAGAATTATAATTCATGATGAGAAAGATTATTTAAATGTTTGGTTTATGCAATAGTTGCATTAATTATTCAGTGTATTTTCCAAATATTGAAAGACAATATGGAGAACTAGGCAGTGTAATTTCGAGACATTATCTTAAAAATAACTTGCTAGATCAAAGTACATATAAAACTTTACCTATGAATATATGAATATATAATGTAAAAATGTATGTATTAATAGCACTATTATGTTAATCCAATTTAATGTTTCACTGACTGTTAATTTGATTACTCATGACAACAATTTTGTTGATGCAACCAACGACGTCGCGGCCTTCCACACTTACTTTAAAATAACGGACAGCAATAATCCACGATTTGTGATGCAGAAGGTACGCAATATAAACTTATGTTTATTTACGATAACATTGCATCTCACCTCTCACTCTATCTTTTTCTCTACTC